CCCCCTTTCCACTTGTAGCATAAAATGACTAATTATGTCAAATTAAGGAATAAAGTAATAGCTTTACTTGCTATTACTTTAGAAGTAGTATATCAAATAGATGGCTCAATTTAAATGAAATGATCAGCTGTGCTAATTGATTTCACAAGGTTTGTACGTGACCTCTTTGCATTTGAAATTCTATTGAAGAATTTCTTTTGTTTTTTCATTCACATGAAGTAGTAAGACAACTATGCTTTCATTTTTAGTTTCCAACAAAATAATGTTCTTTCCATCCACGTAGATAATGGAAATTTGCAGAGGCCTCAACTTGATCTTCGGACAACCATAAGAATAGAGTACTTTTAAAATATGTCAACCTTACCCACGTAATCGAACTGTAGTTGTCGAAGGATTTGACTTCTTGCATGCCGATAGTAACACTCCTGTTAGGATATTTTCCTTAATTTACTAGAACTAGAACTAGAACTATGAATATCCTTTCTCCAATTTGCATGTAACTAGGAAACATCATCGACTTGAGAGTCAAGTCCTTTTAACAGACAAACTAATTGGATCCCACATCGGCCAAATTATTTTCCGCTACCCTCCAATACATGCATATATAGACGTATGTTATTTCCTTCCAAACACTAATTTGCAGTATTTGCAAGCTTGTTCAATGTTCCTTGACAGGTAAACGTTTTTCTTTTTCCACTTTTATTTTTTGTGTTTTCTCTTTGAACACTTGGCGAACTTTGAAGACTTGGGTGGACATTTTAAACTTCAACTTAAAAATTAGTAGACTTACAGACTTGGAGGGATTAAATATTTCAACTTGAAGACAGGAAAATTTGAGGACTTCAACTTGAAGGTAGTTGGACTTAAAGATTTGGCAAACATGAAGACATAGTAAATCCATGTACTTCAATGCAAATACTTGGTAAGCCTCCTAAAAGACTATAAGTGTCCCATTAAAGACACTGGTTTACCATGGAGGCTTGCCCCTCTCTAAATCATATGAGATCCAAAGTGCTTGCCCCTCTCTAAATCATATGAGATCCAAAGTTTAACAGAAGAATGATATTTCAGCCCGATTTTTCAAGTGTTGGTTGAACGAGTTACTTCCGTCATATTTCATTTGGACAACAATTGGGGCAATATGTATCTTTTAAAATTATACGACTGAACTTAGAATGAAACACTAAGCTGCTTACGTACCTCGGTGAAAAGGATCAAGTTGTACCGTAGTTTAAAATGGTGATTTTTTTTAGTGTCTTAACTTTTTTCTAGGCCGCTCTTTCGAGGTTTTCAACTTATCAAACTTTTCTTTTTGGACTGTACACAGTTCATACTCTTGCTGGCTAGGAGTAACATGCAGTTTATGCTCTTGCGTTAAGGAGCGTAGCAACTTGCAATTTAAGCACATATTTTGAGAAGCTTTATAACTTGAAGATTTTGCTCAAATTTAAAGAGCTTCTTGACATAAACTTTAGGCTCGTACGTCCAGGAGCTTAGCGACTTGAATTTATAAGCTCGTATTTTGAAGAGTTTTGCAACTTAAAGATTTTGCTCAAATTTGAAGAGCTTTATGACATGCAATTTAGGCTCGTGCGTCCAGGAGCTCAGTTATTTGAAGATTTAGCTTACGTTTCGACATGCTTCGCAACTTGAAGACTTGCTTAATTTTGAAGAGCTTTGCAACTTGAAGTTCGACTGGAATTTGAAGAGCTTCGTGTCTTGAATATTTAGCTCAAAGTTGAAGAGCTATGCAACTTGAAGTTTGGCTCAAATTTAAAGAGCTTTGTGACTTGAAGTCTTTGCTTGACTTTGAAGAGCTTTCGACTTGAGTCTTTTGATCGAATTTGAAGAGATTTGAGACTTCAACACTTTGCTCGAATTTAAAGAGCTTGACAACTTGAAAACTTTGCTCGAATTTGAGGAGTTTTACGTCTTGAAGATTTAGTTCAAATTTAGGGAGCTTCGTGACAAATAGTATAGACTCATGTGGAAAGAAGCATTACAACTTGCAGTTTACGCTCGTGCATTGAGGAGCATAACAACTTGCAGTTTACGCTCGTGCATTGAGGAGCATAACAACTTGCAGTTTAGGCTCGTGCACTGAGGAACATCATAACTTGTAGTTTAGACTCATGCATTGAGGAGCATTATAACTTGTAGTTTATGCTTGTGCATTGAGGAGCATAACAACTTGCAGTTTAGGCTCGTGCACTGAGGAACATCATAACTTGTAGTTTAGACTCATGCATTGAGGAGCATTATAACTTGTAGTTTATGCTTGTGCATTGAGGAGCATAGTGACATGCACAGACTTTTCGGTTTCATTCTCATATGAAAACTTCATCGTAAGACTTAAAGACATATAGCCCTTGGTCTCTACTTTTGACCATACTTAGTTCCATGTTATGAGCACAAGTTGCTAGTTCTTTAAATATTTTGGACTTTATGCCTTGTAAAATATAGCAAAGACCCCAATGCATGTCTTGAATGCATATTTCGATGCCAGAAGTTTCGCTAAGGAGATATTTGAAGTTGAGGCTTAAGCTCCTCTAGCGGTTGATGAAGTCAATAACTGGCTCATCCTTTCGTTGATAAGCATTTGTAAGTTTGATCATGCTTACGATGCATCTTGTTCCATAGAAACGGTTGAGAAACTCATGCTCTAACTGCTCCCAACTATCCATGGAACTAGATTCGTGATTTGTGTACCAACCGAACACATTACCTTTGAGAGATCGAACAAACTGTTTGATTAATCATCGTACATACCTGCATTATTGCAAGTTTTAACAAAGCGCGCTACATGTTGTTTTGTATTTCCCTTGCCATCGAGTTGTTGCAACTTAGGAGGTTGATAACCAACATACATCTTCAAGTTATCAATTCTTTGCGTATACAGCTTTGCATATGTGAGAGATATTTTGGACGAAGACCCTGGATTATCTTTGATAGCCTCCATGATGAAGTCCTTCAATTTCTCAACGGGAATAAGACCTTCAGCAGAGACTTGGATCTCCTTGGTTGTTGTTGCTTGCTTTTCGGAGGGGTCTTCTTTCTCTTGTGACCTTTGAAAATTTAAAGGTGCTTCTGTTGATTCTCCTTCTACTATGATATCCAACTTATTTGTTAACTTGAAAGGCTTAGCATCTTGATCTTGCACGCGCTCTGACAAGCCTTCAACTGTTTTTGTCAAATTTTCAAGTGTTTCTTCTATAGTAGAAGCTTCAATAATCATTTCTTGCATGATCACTGTAGATGATGAAGAATATCTATTGGACTACTACTACTCCCTTCGAGTCTCCTCGCTGTGGTGGTTGATGAAAAAGAAGAAGAAGTAGTATGGGGTTGGGGAGAGGGACAAGAAAGGGATCCAATTTGGTGAAAAAGTAGTTGGTGGTGACGAAGAAAAGATGTTTGGGGGAGGGGGAGGACGGTCTGATTTGGTTTTTGCTTTTTTATTAGTATTATCTTTTTTAAAGAAAATTAACTATAGGTAAAAAGATTCAAAAATTACCTGTGTCATTTTTTATTTGTTAATTTACCACATCGGCAAGTGTAATTCACCCACAAGATCTGTGGAGCATAAGTGTGCATAAGACACGCTACAAACAATTTGAGGTGCTTACTAGGCAAATGGATCTGTTGGGGTGTCTATTTGGTCATAATTCAGAAGGAATAATTTAAGGGGACCATTTATATATGTTGTTTTGTATAAATAAATTATTACTTACATGTTTGGATTAGTGGCGGAGCCACCTTATCCAAAGGGGTGTCAACTGACACCCCTTCGTCCGGAAAATTACACTGTGTAGTTTGATAATTTTTATTTTAAATGTATATATTATTATATGTTGACTCCCCTTGACTTCTTCGTGTATTTACTTCTTTATATTTTGACGCCCTTTAATAAAAATTCTGGCTACACTACTGGTTTGGATAAAGTACTAAAACTGATAATATAATTAATGTGTTTGGATAAAAAAGTGTGGATAAACTATTTTTGAAAAGAAAAGGAGGAAAACTAATATAGAATGTAAAAGGAAGTTAGGAATCTTATTTTGGTAAAGATATTCTTATAGTTGGAAAAAATTATTAAGAATGAAATACTTAAAAATTTAGTAAAATTAAAAGAGCTGATAAGCTGAAAAGTCATAAGTTGGGAGTAACATACTTAGAGAGGGTATTTGGATTGGCTTTTAAGCTGGTCAAATCAACTTTTAAGTTCTTTTTTAATTTTTTCAGTGTTTGGCAAAGTCAAAAAATGCTTAAAATAAGTTAAAAACTACTTAAAACAAGCCAAAAGCAATAAATTGGGCAACCCCAACTTATTATTTTTTGGCTTAAAAGCTATTTCTGCTAAAAAACTACTTTTTTGAAGTTAATCCAAATGGAGTTTTATAGATTTTAGCTGATTTTGGCTTATAAGCTTTAAGATATTTATCAGATGCATAGGTAAGTCAAAAAATGCTTATAAGTCAGTTTGACCTGCTCATAAACTTAGTTAATCACCCTCTTAAAAAAAATAAAAGTACTCTCTTTACCTTTTTTATGTGATGGTTTTTGACTAGACAAGTATTCACCCTCTAAAATAAGAAAATAGAAGTATTTTCTTCACCTTTTTATATGATGTACTAGACGGATGTAGCCCGTGCCAGCACGGGCCTAATGAAACTTTTATTTGGGAGGTACTCCGAGAAGCACTTTGTCCTCTACATTTTTTGATTGCCTGCATCATAAGAGCACAGGAAGAGATATGTGTACCAGCAGGTTGACCCTAGAGATAAATCCTAGGTAAATATAAGAAAATATCTAGTCATTGATAAGTACATAAAGGTTTCCTAGGAAATTTCATATTTTTCTGCCTTAGATCTGAGTCCATAAGAACTATTTCCCCTGATCCCCCTAATCCATAAATAAGAATGATGAAGTCTAGTATACATTCTAACATTGAAAATAATCTCAAACATTCTTATCCTAGATAATGATATGGACATACTGTGTATAGTTAATTAAGATTACGTCGTTAATTTGTCAAATAAATGTGCTTCAGTCAGGTGCTCACTTTAATATTTTGGCACCATTTTGGTGAATAACTAATGAAATAATATAGGAAATCGGTATTGAAGTGAGCATTCACTTCAAAAGTGGTTTAAGTCATCAAATGACAGTACTCTCCTTCGAGACATACATTATTAACCTAGTCTTACTCGCTCTAACCTCCTTGCCTGTTTTCGTTTCTTTCTTTTTTGAGATACCTGCCCTGCTGTCTCTGCTCTCGTTTGGGCCCCAGGAATCCCTTGCTTTTGGCTAAGGTCTTTATTTACCTTTTTTCATTCCGCCCCTCAAAACTACAAATTAACAAAAAGGACCAACCCATAATTAATGGTCATTGAGCAGTTCGTAAAGATATATAAATGATGTGTGTCGTCATATTGATGCATACCTCATGCTATCTTCAGAGTCATTTGAAGAACAATCAAACTCTGCTTTGTTATCAGTGAGCAGATCTTATACAAACAATCAAGACGCATCCAACATCCAGGAAAAATCCAAAACATAGCGCAAGAAAGAAACAAACATGGTAGAAAACTTACCAGACTTAACAAGCACAACAGAGGTAGAACATTATAGCAACAAAAATATAAAAAAATCATGAAAAATCAAAGAAGCCCAGAAAAATTGAAAAAATCACCCAGTGAAAGATGACACCTTTGATCTCTTGAAGTCGCAAAGCAAGAAGAAAATAACAGAGAGCAGTGAAGGAGAGAGAAATAGATGAACTGGACAACAATAAAGAGTCATATCTTAAACAACGAATCTACACGTGTTTTAATAAAATAAAAGTGTAGTACGGGTGTTAATTCCCCAATGAAAAGTAAAATTCAAAAAGCAAAATATAAAGTATTTTGTATAGCCTAGGAGTCATCATTTTCTGGTCCAAGATATATTTTTTTTATATGAAGTATAATGTTGAGAGTAGCGTGACAGAAGAAATATTGAGGTTTAACATTGAAGAGGTTGACATACTTGCTAGAAGTATCTTCCTTTCACTCGAGAATTTCATCAAATACATTGACCGCATCAATGTTCTTCTGTTGTTTCTACTACCTTTTTTATCCTGGCAGATACTTGCTGAGGCAAGAATCTACAAAATCACAAAATCACAAAACCTGTGAATCAACAATCTCTGAGGAAAATAGAATAAGACAATTACATGCTCAGCAAGAACATAACTCGACAACATACAATAAAAATTGAACCATTGGCACCATCAACAGAAAGACACCTAAAAAGCTTCGCCAAATCAACATAATAAATGTTGTTGAGAATATGAATACTCATTGTGAATGTACAGACCTTTAGTTGGTCCAAATACGTTAAGCAGGATGCTAACCACAACCAATGAAAGTTATTATTTATGTTCTAATTGTTCAAATCCCCACAACTTTGGAGCGAAGTGAGTTCAAATGTCAATGCAATTCCTAATTAATAAAAGAGACAAAAGAAAGTAGAAGTTAGTCACAGTAAAGGTGAAGTTGGTAAGAATTTTGATACATATACATATAGTCAGTGATCTTACTTTTAAGAGATAGTAAATGCTCCTCATTTGTCCGGAGTTGAGATTGACTGTGTTGTAGCATACCTCCAATTCTTTCTGATTTTTCACAAAAGAATCAGTATGTAGAGTATTCTACAACAGTTAGGTGACAATGAATCTGATAGAAAAAGAAAGTTTAAAACAACCACCAAGTTTTTTAAGTACATCACCAAGCAAGTGTCTAAATGATATGAATACATGAGCTATAACACCGGTTTTTATTTTCTGTTAGTAATAGTTATTTTTTTTCATCATGCAGTACTTATAATATTCTAAAATATTGGCATGAAAGAACCTAATATTGTTGATGCAAGAAATGCATTTGGATTATCAAATTATATTGAAGCAAGAAAAAGAATGCAAGATAGATGAACAAAATGAGACAGAGATGGAATACACTATACATACCATAGAAACAGTAAAATCAAATAGATACAACATTGATCTATTTGTTGCATATCAGAAAACTTTTCCATTTTTAGAACATTCAAAATTTAGCAAGAATTTGCAAGCAAATAAGTTAACTGCGCAAAAAAGTTGTTTCAACAAGAATCATTAAATGAACAATAAGCACACAGGGAAAGATAAAAATACCTCTGTAACAATATTAGAGTAACTTCTAGGATTATGCAAAACCTGAAGCCAACTTGCCATGAATTATGTGAGCATAGTACAGAACAGAAGTTGGGGCCATCCTCGGGAACTATTTATGCAAAAGCTTTTTGAATGATTTCATCATATACTATATTGTAAGTTGAATGATCATCATCACTATCTGTTGCAGGTGGTCGAATTAATAGCTTTACACAATTAGAACTTTTTTCTCTTGATAGCACTACGTAGAGCTGACCGTGTGAAAAAACAGGTTCGTATAAATAAACTCCCACGAAGTCCAACGTTTGACCTTGAGCTTTATTTATTGTCATAGAAAAACATAATCTCAAAGGAAATTGTGTTCTTTTGAAAGGAATAGGCAATTTTTCATCTACTGATGATAATAATGGTATTCCAGGAATAAATACATGTGTATTCTTAAAGTCCCCAGTGACAATTTTAGCACTTATAACATGTTTGCGAAGATCACAAGATATAAGTCGTGTACCGTTGCATAAACCTTCACATGGATTTAAATTTCGTAACAACATAACAGGACAATTCTTTTTCAAGGTTAATTTATGGGGAGGTAAACCAACAGGATGTAAAGTATGCAAAAAATCTTCATATTGACTTTGATCGTTTGCTTCAATAGTCTCATCAAATGCAACGTATGTTTTAAGATTACCAGGAAATTGAGCTATGAGCAAATCATTTATTTCATCGACAAAGTCATTTTTGGTTGTCAGAATTACACGAGAAGTCATAGAAAATGCATCAGAAAAACATGTATGTAGATTTGGATAAGTAACTCTAAATAACAGATCTAATGATTGATTTTCATAAACGAAAAGGATAACAAAACAATCAGGGATTTCAATTTTGTCATGGCTATTTGTTTTTTCTTGTCTATTTCCTATTCTCATCAAATATTCACAAAACGTAGGATCTGTTTTTGCATGCATATTCTCTGATAATTGTAGTTTTTCGAGTCGATTCCAAATTTCAAAATATAATAAGCTTTGTTGAATAAAATCTTCTTTTTTTCCACTCCTAACAACTGGGAGAGTTTGTCTAAAATCTCCATCGAAAACGATCACTTTTCCTCCAAATAGAGCATTTGTATCCATTAAATCCTTCATCAGAATATCAAAAGTTTCTATCACTTTCTTTTTCGCCATAGATACTTCATCCCAGAAAATTAGTTTTGCATCACGTATTAAAGTTGCAAGTGCGCTTTGCTTACTAATATTGCAAGAATATTGTTCATCGATATCAATAGGAATTTTAAAACGAGAGTGAGCAGTTCGTCCTCCTGGGAGGATCGAAGCTGCAACACCTGAACTTGCTGTTGCTAAAACGACAAAATCTTTTGATCGTACATCAACTAATAAAGCACGGTATAGAAAAGTTTTTCCAGGTCCATCAATGAAAAATGCTCTTGATTTGTTAGAAAATATTCTATTAAGAATTGTGTCATATGCTTTTCGTTGTTCGATATTTAATTCTCTCTAGAAGCAAATCTTCTTCTCTAACAATGATGTTTCTTTCAAAATGACACATTGGTTTCTCTCACAGCAGCTGAAGGTTTAATTTTCTCAGGAATCAGATTATATTCATTAATATCATGTCCCATCAAATGTAAAATATCATTGATATGATTTAAAGCCATAAAACAAATATCTTTAGCATTCATGTTAGGTAGAATCTTAAAATCTTCGGACATTGAATCTTCAAATTGTTTCCAAAGTTCTGTTGGATTAGCAGGATTACAGTACACCAATAATGTTGCAAACAAAGGCCTTAAACTATATGGCATTTGATAATTTGTAGCTTCAAACATACATTCAACTAAGTTGTTATCACAGTGTAATAATCCTCTTTTTTCTGCGGCCTCTCTAAATGTACTACAACATTTGCCGTCAACTTTACATAAGTCCTGATATGATTTTGGTCCTCTAACGTTCATCAATAATAATATAAGAAAATATCTTTCTCCTTCTGTTGGATGACATGTTACAACACGTCCAATTACAATACGTTGTTTTTGACGTGTCCACATTTTTTCCTTAGGTGACCATACAAAGTACTCAGGAAATTCTTTATATAATAATAACAGTTGCATAACATCTTTATCTGTTCTGTTCATAACAAAAAATTCAGTTAACATTGTTTTTCGAATCATTGGATTACTCAGTATTCTATCAACATTTTTAATACTTTTAAAAGAGACAAATTGTTGTCCTTCCAAATGTAATTGAAGGTGAAAAACACTTGGAGTCATTTCACTTATGGGAAAACCAAATAATCGCCATGCAGCTTCCGGAGGAGAAACCCATCTAACAGATTGATATTCTTTTATTTCATCCATGTTTGTATCTGTATCATTATCATGTATATGAAATGCAATTTTATCGTGTCCTTCGCAAATATATTTGTAAATATATTTCACTATTTTAATATCAGAACAAACTTCAATATTCATATGACAATTATACTTTCATAGCAAAAATGGATTATATGGAACAACCCAAGAATTATCCAGAAACTCACCTCTTACTTCTACAGCTTCTCCGGTTCTTCTCCTTTTGTATATTGGATATGAATTCTTCCCTTTTAATGTTTGTTTAGCAAACTTTTGGATACTTGAATTTGCAGTTATTATTTTTTATGCAAATATTTGTAGGATTTAACTTTTCACAAGGACCATGCATCATATGTTTAATAACAAGTGAATAAAAATCGCGATCTTTTTTAGAATCAGGCAATTCTGCACAAATAAATTTATCATAGGATTCAGGAGTCAATAATTTGTGTTCATCAGCAAGTATAATAAGAAAATGAGCATGTGGAAGACCACGTTTTTGAAATTCTATAGTATACATGAATGCTGCAACGCTTCCAAAGATTTGTCTTTTTAATATATCCGTCTTTAATTCTTCTACCTTTGCTCTAAAAACTCTACTAACTAAATCAGGTTTGTTCTGTACTTCATCAGCCAGTGATAAATGTTCTTTTATTTTTGGCCAAGAAGGATTACATGTCATTGTTATAAAGAAATCAGGCTTTCCAAAATATTGTACCAATGCGATAGCATCCATGTATCGCCGGCGCATGTCCCTTGGTCCCCCTATAAATGTAACAGGGAGGAATGTTTTCTTTCCAATTTTAGAGGCTTCCCTTTCACCACATCTTAAAACATCAAGGAGTCCTTGCAATACTTCAATTCTAAATAAATCTGGATTAAATGAAAAGAAGTCTAATCTTTGCGTTTCAAGCTTTATATATACATCTACTATAAATTGTTGGAATATTCTCCCACAGTGTAGCACTTCATTTGTTTCATTATCTCTTAGTTGAAATTTGTAACAATAATACTCTCGACAAGACACTGTATCTCTTTTTCGATTTCCTTTTTGTAGTGATTTATCTTCCATATCAAGAAATCCATCAACTGAACACATATTTGATATACTGGGCAATTGTTCATGTTCACAGTAAGCTCTACGTTTCGTCACATTTTTTGTCTGAACAATTTTTTTGATACCACAATGCCATCCATTTTCACCGAAGGGAAATAATAATGGATACTGCAACGGATCATAACATCCATAATAATAATGAACTAACCGAACTCTATTACTGTGGGTATAAATTCGAATATGTGGTGCAAATGTATCTCTAGGATTTTCTTCAAGCAATAATGCCACAATCTCTGATGTACTGGGTAAGTTATATGTTCATTGATCTAAGGTTGAGTGACATTTAAGAGCAATATAGAAATCAGATAATTGAGGAACATTTAAGAGAGATCTTAGGAAAATAGTATACGGATTTACCTTCAATATGTCCATCAACTTTTTCACTATTGATTTATTAATTCTTGTCGAACATGCCATCCTATTGGCTAGCTCATTATCATGATCGTAGAAGTACAACTGTAAATTCCTAGGATTTTCATTGGAAGGAACTAAATCTTCTATAAAATGATACATTTGCCCTTGGACTCTAAATGTGTAGATACCACAATTTCTTCTGGCTAGCTCTTTATCATACTTGACACCAAGTGAAGTAAATGCAAACATGTTATTGTATGTTCTAATATAAGTTCGAAAATTTTCAGATTCTTCAGTATTTCTAAAGTATAACTCCGATAATTCAGTTGGCATTTTATGAGATGTCAACCTTCTTGAACCACTGTTACAACAAAATCTTGGAGGTTCATATTCAAATTTCTTTGCATGACAAAATTGACAATTTGGGATCCTTTTAAGAGCAACATACTCACTTTGTTGCTCTTTACTGACCAGGCACATCTTTTTGGCCCGCCTATGAGCTGAATATGTAAGAAGTATCATTAGAAAAAAAGGAGCACCAAGGCATACGTATGGTGGACATTATTGTAACATTAAGTTTGTGCAAACCTTTGATTGGTACGGTGTTCAAGGTAACATGGCGCACGTTAGATGTACCCGATGTGGACCCTATTGTACAAATAGTTACAATTTACAGTAATATATAAACAATATGTCATTCTGAAAAGAGTATGATCTGAATGTAGGTTTACCTGTTTCACGAATGATAGGGGGGGGGGGTCCAATGTACCCTTTCCTTTGTCTAAATTAGCTAGTCATACAAGCTTGATAGCTACCGACTGGTAAACAAAATAGCCAAAATGTTTAAAAGCGTACAACAAACCCTCAATAGATGCAAAATAGTGTGTAAAAGAGCACGTAGTATTTATGTCTTTTAGTTTATAGATACATATAAGATAAATAAGCTATGATATTCAATCTCCAAGCAAAATAAGCATCGTTATATTAATAATATTCTTCGTATAAATATGAGTACAACAATATATAACCAAAAAAGTAGCGAAAAAGGTTCTCGTATGGTTACCTGTTTCACAAATGATAGGGGGATCCAATATATCTTTGCCTTTTTCTAAATTATCATGCGATGTAGCCGTGCAAGCTTGATAGCTGACAAGTGGTAAACAGAATAGCGAAGACGTTTAAAAGCGTACAGTGAAGCCTCTGTAGGTGCAAAATAGAGTGCAACAGACCACATAGTACTTAAGTATTTTAGTTTATAGGCACATATAAGATAAATAAAGTATGCCGGCAGCTGGTAAATAGAATAGCCAAGACGTATAAAAGCGTACAACGAAGCCTCAGTAGATGCAAAATAGAATGTAAAATAGCAGGTTGTATTTTTGTATTTTACTTTTCTCCGAGCAAAATAAATAAGTATCCTTGTATTATAACACTAATTGGATCAACTTTGCTGATAGGTATCATGCCATTGAATGGATGTTTAGATGCACCTTTTATGAGCCAAACATATCAAACATTTCCTATTGAATGCAGGATTGAAAACCGCTATAATTCATAGGCAAGCGAAAAATAATTGCGATCTTCAACAGGGAGATTCCCCAATTTATATCATTTCAAACTCAACAGAATATGAAAATATCCAAAATAATCACTGAGGTAACACTTTTAGAATTGCTATTGGACTTGCTCACCAGCTTTTGTCGTATTTGGATCTAACAAGTGACAAACACCTCATCAAGTTTGGGCTAACAATCAGGACTCTAGCACAGGCACATAGAATTGACGCACAAGTTTTATGGGACTTCATTCATGGTAAAACCATGTAGTTGATAAATATTGTTTACATCATCTTGAATCTGGTTATGTAAACTTGGGGAACATGGATTGCTGATCATTTAATTTGATGGCCATTGCCTCAACAAATATGCAGCTATCTAAGCCAAGATATTAAAATTCGAAATAGCGCCACTTTTAGCTATTGAAGACTCAAAAGGCATCTAACCAAGTGCTACAATAATGGCACTGCAAGTATTTCATAACAGACATCTTTAGCCATTAATGTTGGACACAACGTCTGACTTGTAAAGTGGCTTATCTATCTTGCCATTGAACAGAATTAAGCACTTCTATAAAGCACTAAAACATGATGGATGTAGAGCACTCAAGTTGATCCAGAAACATCATATCCAATACTACCGAAAGATAAGACATCTAACCTGAGAGATCTAATATAATCTTTCCTTTTTCTAAATTACCCCGCGATGTAGTCGCGCAAACTTGATGGGTGGTAGCTGCTAAACAAAATAATGAAGAATTTTAAAAGCGTACAGTGAAGCCTTAATAGGTGAAAAATAGACTGCGACACATATAAGATAAATAAGATATCATACTAAGTCTCCAAACAAAATACATAAGCATCGTTGTATTAATAATATATATGGTTTATAAATATGATTGCAATAATATAACCTTTTTCCGGAAGGGAAGGAGGTTCTTGTATGGTAAGAGCAGTTTGTTTCAGAAATCGTGCTTTGTTCCAATACTCTGAGACAACAACAATCGGACTTTGAAGAAGGTTGTGCTTTGCAGAATCTTGTCTTCTTATACGTCGCGATAGCAACAGTGCTTCCCTTCTATGAGCAGATATTTGGCTTTGCCTATCACGCCATTTGAGTTGCATTGCACCCTTCATTTTTTCTGCGTGTGAGCACTTGTTTGGTTCTTTGAAATCCATCAGTTATGCAAGTTCAACTTTCCTTTTTACATGTAAATATTTCCATCTGAACTTGTCAATGGGATGTCTAAAAAAGGATAAATTATATTTTTAATATCGTGGAACATTCTATATATTACAGATTCTATCTATTATCCACCAAGTTAAGTTTTGTCATCGCACATAGGTTACTCAAATCAAAAGGATCAGCATCTTGTCCTCCCAAGTGGAGCAAGAAATTAAATTGAAAGACAAATGGTAAGCGTTTAGTAAAAACTCTGACTGATTCAAGAATTTCCTCAGTAAGAGCAAACACAACTCGACAATTAAACTTCCTGTGTAGCAAAGGCCTAGAATCCCATGATAGCGGAGAGAAACACAAGATAAGAAAATCCAAACGATAAATTCACCAAAGTAAAGCTAACAACATGAAGAGCAAGGAGAGATGGGGTTGCAGTCGCAGAGGAGTTTGAAGATTGCGAAACTTTTCATATGTTCCTAGATGAGCAAAAAAGAATTAAAATAGGATGTGTCTCTGTGCTGACCTCTTAACCATATTCTTCTAGGAAAAAATAATTTACTTCCAAGGCTGTAGAATTGAATTTTTAATAGCAAAAATCCAGTATATCATAAAACGAAAAATTAAACAGAAAGACGGAGGAAAAGGCAACGTGAATCGAATACCACACGGAATAATCTAAAAATGTGTAACCACCAAATTGATTCATTCAAGAATTTGGTCAAACACATAAAGAACAAAGTCTTAGTGTGCAGTAAAAGATGAAATAAAGAAATACAAGATAAGAAGAAGATAGCTTACAGGAAAACAAAGATCCGGCCAGGAAAATTCACTAAAGTATAAAGATAAGAACAGGAAAAGTGAAGAGAGAGAAGGTGAAAATGGAAATTTGCAGACGGTGGAGCTTTTCCTTTCTCATATAACTCGGCTGTTAACCTTTTGATCAGTGAACCTCCATCTGCCAGGTTTCTGAAAGACCTGTCTGTGTGGTACCGATAAGAACAAGAAGAGTGAGACGAGAGAAGCCAAAGAAGAGTCGAGATAATCCAAGTGAAGCCAAAAGACAGTTGAATGGAAAGACAATTTTGCCCTCAAAGTGCTAGCAAACATGTCGTCCAGGTACCTGCTAATTCCCTCTTATAAGATAGGAGAATTTGACATGTAAACCAAATAACAGGTACAAAGTACCAAAAGTATCTTTTAAACGATAATGGTAAGCGATCCATATGTCTTTTTATTTTCATTCTTCTTTAAAAAATATAAACTTTCATATTAAGTGAGTACTAACAAAAAATGCCATTAAGAGAAGAATGATATTGCTAAAATTAAGTAATTTAAAAAATAAAAATATGTCATTTTAGTAGGAATAGACTAAAAGAAGGCGGAAAATAAAATGAGACACAATACTATTACACGATCAATGATTATCTAATAATATGACCAACATTTGTGGGTGAGAGATGAATTTCAAAGAGAATATGCGTCGTTTATACCTTAATTCTCAAGTACTGTAAAAAAAGAAAAGAAAAGTTGTATTGACACGTAACTCAATTGGTCAAAAAATCCCATAACTAAACACCCTTTCTATTTCTAAAAATGCTGCAAATTTAACAGAAAAAACACCAAACACCAATGAATATGATCCCTTCACTCACCTTCTTCTTTCTCCTCTTCAACTTCTTTTCATTATCATTTTCTTCTTCACAAATCTCCATTTCTGTAACCCCAAAAACCTTATCGAAATCCGGCGGTTTTATCACAATCCAATGGGCCGGTATTCAGTCACCTTCTAAGCTTGATTGGTTAGGAATTTACTCACCACCCACCTCATCCCACGACGAATTTATTGGCTACCTTTTCCTTTCTTCCTCACCTGAATGGGAATCGGGGTCGGGATCCATTTCCATCCCTTTAGTCAACCTTCGATCCGGGTACCAGTTCCGGATCTTCAGATGGACCGAATCCGAGGTTCTCCCCGAGCTAGTGGATCATGACCACAACCCATTGCCTCAGACGAACCATCTTCTTGCGGAGTCAGAGGAGATTGGGTTTGAGTCGGGTCGGGGCCCTGAACAGGTGCATTTGGCTCTCACTGGTCGTGAGGATGAGATGCGAGTCATGTTTGTGACGCCTGATGGGAAAGAGAGCTACGTGAGATATGGGCTGACCCGGAATGCGTTGGATCGGGTTGTGGGAACCCGGGTCGTGAGGTATGAGAGGGAAGATATGTGTGATGCTCCAGCTAATAGTAGCATTGGTTGGAGGGATCCTGGGTATATACATGATGGAGTTATGGTTAATTTGGAAAAGGGAAAGAAGTATTATTATCAGGTAATTTTCTTCAGCCTTTTGTTTTTTGAAAAAGAATATTTTTTATGTTCAGATCGGCATAAGTTTCTGCTCGGTGTAAAAGTTATTTACGCAATCAGATAATTGCATGTATCAAATGGTAAGTTATAACATGTTAAACTACACTAATAGTGTAAAAAAAATTCATTAACATTTCAGTGTACATAACTTAAATCCAAGTTATATCAACTAGTTGAGATAAAATCTTATTACACCTAGTTGTAGATGCAGTAATTTACTTTTTTTAAGTGAGATAGATGGTTGAGTGAACTAAAGCACTGGAATGCTAATCCAGTAATCCGTTTTACCAGTTAATCGTACTGAGGGTTCGTATCCGCCTCTTTGCTTTGATGACTTGTTAATTTTTCTCAAGATTTTAAAAAACCCTTCATTTCCATAAATTATTTACTAGTATTGGAATGATATTGTTCTGAATAGAGCAAAACTCATATATATGATTCATACAGCTAGTTTGGGATTGATGTGGTGTCGATGCTATGTTCATATAGGTTATTTAGATTCATAGATTGTGGAGCTCTCTTCTGACCCTAAGGGCTAACTGGACTCACTTGAGGGGGGGGGGGGGGAAGATACAAAAGTTTGTTAATTTAATTTCTCAAAATCCAAATTTTCCATGTTTGTACTATACTACTATTTGGTTCTTGGGTAGGTCCAGAGGGTGTTTGGGGGGTATTGGCTTTACCTTATCCTAGATGCTAATGGTTCTGAAAGCTTAGAATTTGATCCTTGCTCTATCTGGTCAGATGATCAATTTCTGGGCCAGAAACCTCAAGTCTCATCGACCCTCCACCCCCATCTTAAAAACCTTAAAGCTTGTCATTTTAGTACCCTGTCTCTCTTTTTCTCTGAAAGCTTCATTAGTAAATGTTTGGGTTACTACAACACATAAAACAACCTCTCTGCTTTTGTCTATTGCTAATCCTCTTTCAATATGATCACTTAATTTCAACACTCGTAAAAGAGGTCTCTCCAGGTCCTTAATGAAAGAATGAAAGTTGAAATTGACTTTATCATGCGCTGTCTTTACGCATGGATATTTGTTATGAGAGAACTTCTTTGCTCTAGCTTCAAACTTATTTCTTTTACCTTTTCTTACGAAGCAATGGCTGTTTAAACATTTCTCTAAACCTCTTAACTGTCTTTGCTTTAGAGTTCAGTTCACACTCAGAGAATTACATTGTCGGAGAGCAAGCTAATTTTCTTCTTACATGTACCTATATATTCTGTATTTCTTTAATTCAATAGCAAATTTACTTTCTTGGTAAGAGTTATGCTTTTACATGTAGTGGGAGGTTTGAGCAGTACACAGGCCGGTGAAGTTTTGGTTTGTTATACTGATTGTACTGACATGATAGAAAGGTTCAGGGGCTTTTAGTGACTGTATAATAGGGTGAGGCATGGTGGAATCATTTCATTTGGTCATGAGCTAATTCATGCATGTAATCTTTGTAGTGGAAATACATAGAGCCCCCAGAATTAAAATTTTCATCGACTTCACAACTATCCGCTATAGTTGAAACATCCTCTATTTAAGATTGTTTCGAAAGTTCTACTAATCTAAACTCCATCTATACAAAATCAGCTTTTTGATCCTTAATCACTATTAAAGGTAATTACAATAATTTAAAAAATTGGAAATCTTCCATTTCTTGAAGGATGTTACAGCTGCCACTGTTTATATCTCTAATGATGTATTACCATGCAGGTTGGCAGTGATTCGGGGGGTTGGAGCACCATTTACAGTTTTGTTTCACAAAATGGAGACTCTGGTGAAACATTTGCTTTCTTGTTTGGAGACATGGGGACTGCTACACCATACTTGACATTTCTTCGTACACAGGATGAAAGTTCATCAACCATTAAGTGGATTAGCCGTGATATTGAAGCTCTTGGTGATAAGCCTGCTCTTATCTCACATATTGGAGATATCAGCTATGCAAGAGGATACTCTTGGTTGTGGGATAACTTTTTTTCTCAGGTAGAACCTCTTGCATCCAGAGTTCCGTACCATGTATGCATTGGCAACCATGAATATGATTGGCCACTTCAACCTTGGAAGCCCGACTGGTCAAGCCATCTATATGGGACAGATGGGGGAGGTGAATGTGGTGTACCATACAGTCTTAAGTTCCATATGCCTGGAAACTCTTCAGAGCCGACTGGAATGCGTGCTCCCGCAACTCGGAATCTTTATTTTTCATTTGATTCGGGCCCAGTTCACTTTGTTTATATGTCAACTGAAACCAATTTCCTTCCAGGTAGTAACCAATATGACTTTTTAAAGCATGACTTGGAATCAGTTGATCGAGTAAAGACTCCTTTTGTCATCTTTCAAGGGCACCGACCAATGTACACTACAAGCAATGAAAAAAAAGATGCCCCTATAAGGGAGAGAATGCTCGTGCATTTGGAACCTCTTCTTGTGAAGAACCATGTGAATCTTGTATTGTGGGGGCATGTACATAGGTACGAAAGGTTTTGCCCTTTGAATAACTTCACCTGTGGAAGCTTGGGCTTGGATGGGGAGGAAGCAAAGGCTTTTCCGATGCACGTTGTGATTGGGATGGCTGGACAGGACTGGCAGCCTATCTGGGAGCCAAGGGTGGACCACCCTACTGATCCTATTTACCCACAGCCCGTGCAATCTCTGTACCGTGGGGGTGAATTTGGATACATGAGGCTACATGCCACAAAGGAAAAACTTACACTTTCTTATGTAGGCAACCATGACGGTGAGGTGCATGACACGGTGGAGATCCTAGCTTCAGGTCAAGTTCTGAATGGTGGTAGCCATGATGGTCGTGTGACAATGGAAGAGATGGAGTCTAATTTTTCATGGTTTGTAAAGGTTGGAAGTGTACTGGTGCTTGGAGCTTTTATGGGTTACATAGTTGGGTTCATATCTCATGCTCGGAAAAATGCTGCTGGTGAAGGCTGGAGACCAGTAAAAACTGAGGAAATATGATTACATTGTGAAATTTGGCAATACTCAAGTCTTTACAGCCATCTGCCTTGTGATAGTCTGCCTATTGCCACATAAATGAACTATAGTCAAGATGATGCTTCAGCTGGTCACTGTTAGTTAGAGAGAGAATGCATGGTCTAATAAATTCTGCATTCTGCACACCTATTGTAAATAGATAATGGGAAATTCTCTTCTTGGTCTGTTGGCTACTCCCTGCTGTTTTAGTAACTTGTTGCAACTTGTCTACCATCCTCACCTTTCTGATGAGGATTAATTAGAAATTTAAAGCCTTGTGTTTCACGATTTTAGATGTAATTGAAGGATCTTGTAGATGATCAGTGCTTGATAGAGTTGGTCTTTAGCAATTATCAAGAAATTAAAGAATACATTATTTAAGACACTATAACAAGGAAAATTCAGACAGTGACTAATCATTGGGTTTATTTGGCCATAGATTTTGCTAAAATTTATTGGGAAAACTACCCTGTATAGCCCTTCAAAATTTTAATAGCCCAAAGTTTTCCCCTTGGACCCGAAATGTCCCTCCGGCCCAATCTTATTACATCTACTAGCCCATAATCCATAAACCACCCACGCTTTTGAATTCACTCGTTTAACTCGGCTCTCTCAAACCACCTTTCTCCTCAAACACAACTTCTGCATTTTTACTCTTGGTTTCAATGTAAGTCAAAATTTCAGTAGGTTTTTCGATTTTTCTTCATAGTCGACTCTAGGTTTTTCGATTTTTGTTCATAGTCATCTTTATAATGGGGGAAAAGAAGTCTTTGAAGAAAAAAAGGAAGGTGAAGGCATCTCCAAATTCTCTGAAATTAGC